ATCAATTTGACATTTTGAAAACATATATTGATATAAAACATCTTATTAAGTAAACATTTTGTTGGTTTATGAAAAATTTAAATAACCAAAAGACTTCACTTGACATAAATACCAATTATTAACATTACATATACGTATAAGTACATACATAATATAGTGTATGCATAATATAGTGCATAATATGTGGACGCACCTTAAGATTATCTCTTGAGTAATCTGAAGTAGTAGGTAAGACAATATTGTTGTTTTTATTTTTAGTATTATTAAACAATTAAACAATTGTATAGTTACTTAAAAAACAGAGTAGAAAGTAATAAATTAGATGAGTTTTAATGTTTTAAATTTTATTATTCTCGCTGAAAATACCGTTTGGTTAAATTTAAAACTGTCATGTCGTAATAGAGAAACATCATGTTTTTATTATTAACAAAAACGTACTTTTTATTAAACAATTGGGACGAGATAATAATAAAACAATACAAAATAGTAAATTTAATGAAACCCAATTTTCTAAAGGTAAATGGAATAAATAATGTCAATTTCTCAGCGTACCTACATATATGTGTCCAACTGGATTTATTGTTCGGCTTATTTAATTTCAGATCAATGACCTAGGGAGGTGTTGTCTAACAATGTCTATAAATTTTGATTCTCTACAGAGTCTGTGTTATTAGTTTTGGTTTATAACTTGCATCAACGTCACATATCTCCAAAGATACGTTATTTTCCTTATGCAATCCGTTATTCTGGTAAATATATAATATGTTATATTTACTGAGAATCAAGTGATTATGATGACCGCAAATAAATGAAAGTGTTGTGAATGTCTAAGCACTTATCATTATAGGTACCATTAAAGTTTAAAAAATGGTAATTTAACGACTTCGTGTTTTGTAAATAATAATATTGTAATAGCAGGAAAACAAAAACTAGCTCGAGTATGGAAATTTCTGGGATGGAAAATCACTAAAAATTCAAATTCAACAGAGTCTCGGCTATATAATACTATTGCATTATATTTATTTGTAGTTAATAAGACTTTGCGATAAACCTCTAAACCCCTGTTGAGCCTGGCACATTATTTATTATTATATTGTTATTTTAAAAGCCAAAAATTTGCATATTCATTATATTAAAGTGCAAATACTATACTTGAGTTGGCAAAAATATTTTAAGATTGCGTGTCAGGTTTTTACACGTAATTTTTGTTTGTTTGAAGTGAAACAACATTGGTTTCACTAGCGATTTAACTATTTCACAAGTAAACATTTAATTATGGCAAATAAATTGAAGTTGAAGTCGATATTTTGAAATCATAAATTATATTATGTCAAATATGTCAATCATTAGAGTGGTATAAATATGTAATCATAATGCTGTGTACCGTCATTCTCTTAGGTTCTTTTCTTCAACTTTTTTTTCTTTTTTGAATATTGGAAATAATATTATAATAACGAAAAGTGTTTATAATATGCCGTACATAGTATGAAGTATATGAAAACAAATTCGATAAATTTGACAACAACACTGTCGACATTACATGTTTACATACAGTATTATGTAGCTGTCCTCCTTGCCAATAAGGCAAAACCTTGTGTCGGCGTGGAGACATTCTTATATTTTCCAATAGCGACCGTTTAATACTTTTATAACATAGAAATTGGTCTTTTTTGTAGAATGGGTTGTCAGCCCATCGCCCATCTTCTATAACCCAAGAAGAAAACAGCTCAGAACTCCAGGTTAACAACATCCGTGGTACTAATTAATACCCAACCTAACATAACTTAAACATTTTAGAACAGAAAAATTGAATTGGGCTCTACGTTTTGAAGTATGTAGCCCTGGTGCCAGAAATAGTATGACAGATAAAGAAGGCATAACAGCGGCTTTATGCAGATCTAAATCGTTACAACCCTATTTTCGGATCATGTTATGAACGTGGTCAAGAAGGCTGTGGTTTTACAGTGCATAAAAATTCGGTGCTGCACTTAATAGGCTTTTAAGTAGTTAGCTCGCAAGACTCGAAGCATTAGACTTAAACTCGTGATGGTTTAAGACAACCTTCAGAAATACACATCCTCCGCTCAAAAAAAAAAGGAGGATGATATTAAAGATTTTTTACGCCTTATTAAAAAATACTCTGAACACAATCCCATTGAATAATACACAAGTATTTTAGGAGATTTCATTGCAAAATAGAGTAGTTAGAGTATAATCAGTTCAGTCATTCTAGTTTTTCCGAAGAGATAGTCATAAATTAATTGCCGTTAAATATTTTAATAATGTGTTCTATAGACAGTAAAAAAAAATTGCTAATGAAGAAAAGTCATTGCGAATTTTAGCTGAGAATAAAGCAAAGCTGATAAACAGTGTTAATGACAATATGAAAGTAGAATTGAATCTGCTTACAGATCAAAATCATAAAACAAATGTAGAAATTGATTTGTTAAAGAAACAACAGGTATTTCTACTAGAGGAATAACATGCAGGTAATATTAAATACTACTGCTATCCTATACTATGTATGTATATATACTTTTATATATCTAATACCTGTTTAATGGATTATAGAACATCTTAAGTTAGAACTCGGTAAATTAATCATTTCAAGTTATAACTTTGTAAGGATCTCTTTCGGTATTGGCAGGTGTATAGTGTTGTTCATTGTTATGATATGAATGGACATGTAGTGTGGGAAAACGCTAAAAAGAATACCATTAAGGATTGGTTGTTGGTATTTATCGATATGAAGTTTAATGAAATTTCGAAAACTCAAAAGAAAATTTGCAGGCTTCGGTTTTTAAAATAGGTGAAAATGGTATTTTCTATATACCTATAATATTATATTCTTTGTATAGCAGCGAAATATTTGATTAATGGTGCTTTTGATGCGTTAGTCCAGATAAAGGCCGATCGCTGAAGTTAATTGATAGCGTTTTTCTTCTGCGGCAGCCTACGCTAATGCTAGTCAATTAAGTCGCAGGAATACCTGTCCCACACACAGGACGGGTACAGTAAGATGAAATAGCTAAAGGCCTTTTACACGCACGTTAAGTGACAAGGTACTGGCTTGTTTCAAATTTTCTGGGTCATTAATCGCGCCGGAAGACATTTAGCTTGCGACGGTTCTATTGTTTGAGATAGTGTCTACCATTGCAACAATACAATTTTAACTGCTCCAACGCTACCGGAAGCTATAGTAACACGTATATATAAATTCATCATTTGAATTGCCGACTTTAGGTCCGACTTGAACACTCTTGTAACTCTCGTACGCTATGAACAATGTCAGCACACTCATATTTTACAGCTCACAACTTATCAACACAAATATGTTTAACAAACTATCGCGGCGTATCCATAATATATAATAACATTTTCGTTTTAGCAAAGGTGCAAATACCGTTATAACGTCTTTAAGTAATTTTTCAAATTTAGTACATATATTTATTAAAATAATATCCTAATCAAATGTTGAGTTTTATGCTTGAGAAATATTTAAATATTTTTAAGTATATCTTGGACTAACTTTTATCATTGGACTTCCTTCAGTCGAATGTAAACTTAAATTTAAAAAATTTTAAAATTGTTCACAAAAAATACCAAATCTATTTTTGTATACATTTTTGTATTTAAATTCGAGGGGTTTTTACGTTATATACTTAATAGTTTATTTTCTTTGACAATTTGTAGGTGTACTGTTTGACGTCATGTAAGTGTAATCCGATCATGGACAAATAACTTTTTTATTTTAAATATATTTTTAGTTTAAAGAAAGTTTATTTTTATTTAAGCATTGATATTATCTATACATAACTTATTCATAAATAAATCGCCTACGTCCAAATTGATTGTTACCCTTTTACAACTGTGTACAATAGAAAACATTCTAGTCAACATTTATGGTATACTCTACTAGTACCGCCATATATCTCGGTAGCCAACAATAACTACAATTCTGATACATATGTGTGAGGATTGTTAAATTCGTTCCAATCAGTTTTAAAAGGACGATATTAATAGTTGTTGTTACACAATATTATTAAGTAATAATAGTTTGGAATTTATGAAACACACACAATTCTGGGAAAATGTGACAAGGGTGGATAGCAAAAAAGATATTATCATAAAACTATCCCGGAAATTCTGGTAGACCCGAAAATTCCACAACAAGGGTGAAAAAGTTCAAAGTTGTGAGTTTAGAGATGTAAATATCTGTAAAAGAAATGTAGCCTCTAATAGATGTATCAGGAAAGCGTTTTACGACTGACTGCGGCCCTAAGGCAGAGTTATTTAAAACAGTTTCAAGTATTACCTAAAAATGAATCAACAATTTTTAGTCAATTTGAACTTAAAGGTTCGACAGTAGAAACCTTGTGCTTTGTACGATACTTTGGATTAATTGTAGATGGTATTAATTATAATTTATATTTTAGAAAAATGGAGGGTTTTTTTAGATATTTATTGAAGTTAGTAGTCGATGGTTTATTTAAAACATTACCGCAATTACCCAAGTATTAAGAAAAAGGTACTGTATACCTTAAACGTATAAAAAAGTATTTAAATAATTTGCAACATTGCGTTTAGATTAGTTAAACCATTGTTTTATCTGAGTGTAGTTTAAAGTATGCGTTGTTAATAAATTACTAAACAATTATTATTGATCTTGTAAGCAATACAGATTATTTTGTAAATCTCCCCTTCCAAAAAAAAAAATCGTTATGTTAAATTTGTAGAGCTGATATATATTATATGTATAAAATACAATGAAAATAACCCTATATTATTAATTTATTTTATAGTTTGTATAGTAAAAATATTAATAATATAATATATATTAAACTTAAAATTGATTTATGGTTATAATTAATATTATAACAATTTAGGAAAGACATTTAACCAATCATTTACCGCATACGAATAGCTTATAATATATATATATATATTGTGTATAAATACACAGCTTATTTTATTTGCTTATAATTAATTTTTGTTTTCAGGAATACCAACCACTTGTCAATAAAACTCTCGAAAAAATTATAGTAAGTACCAACATTTTAGTTTTTCGTTTTATTAGTAAAAAAATAATTATTCCAATCAAACGTATATTTACCTACGTATTTCGTATAACTGCAAACATGACTACTTTAAAGTATGTCAACTATTAAAAACGCAATGATGGATAGGTTAGGTTATGCCCTTGCTAATCGAAATTTGTGTACAAAATGTATTTGGAGTGTCTCTTTAAAAAACGATACAATGACATGTATGATTTCGCATCGAAACGTATAATAGTTAAAAACCCAGTTTTAAATCAATAAAATCGGAATTGGCCTCACTTTGCTAACTTCTTACTTACTATTTTATACTGTGCTTGATTTTGTCCTATTCAACCGATTTACCCTATTTGCTGAATTGATGTGAAAGGCCACCCGGAAGATACTTAAGGGGATTAAAAGTGGGAAAAGTTCACACCGTATTATAAAAGGAATTTTCCTAACAGACAATTCATTTTGCGTTAAATTGAAGTACTGCTGAATTATTTAATAGGGACACAAGTATTCATAAAAACAAAAAACTACCCTTTTTTTTAGTAATGAAATAAAAATAAAAGTACCTATTACATACATACATTTTTATTTATACTCTACTTTTTGTTTAAAAAGTAACACAATATCTAATTTTACTTAGTATGTTTTATTATATCATTAATAAAAAAACACTACAGATTGAAAAGTGAGTTTATATTTTTTTATACTAGACTTTTATATATGATTGTTATGGTCCAAGACCAGCATAACGTAAAATACATTTTGTAGGAGCCGTCGGTGTAATTTTATTATGTGGTATTCGATCAAAACCGTGATATGAAAATTGAAAACACTGAAGGTAAAAGGACAAAAGTAGTTAGGATCGAGTTAAAAATATGCTTTTAAAGACAATATGTTATTTTTGCATGCATAATTAATACACAAAACCCAATTAAGTGGTATTACCTGAAATTATTGAAAGGAGTAATTTCAGAGAAAAAATCCTTTCACACATATAATTAATTATTATTGCATTATGTTAAATTAAACAACTTTATATCCTTTGTAAAACCCGATATCAAACAGATATTTTTTATTGAAAGTATAAAATATTTTTTTTTATTTGTATTGAATGAATAATTCTCGGGTTTTAATACCTTATTTTTGTAATTTAGGGTTTTTTTTCAATCAAATATATTATTACACCTCTTTCGGTTCTTAGAAATGAAAGTATATTAATTTGTTAGCTGTTAATTAATTATAAATATTAAAATATATTATACAATTACTTAGCTTATATATAGATATAGTAGATACGACGAGCACTACTAGATAAAACAAACATTTTATCGTTTCCATTTTCTCATAAGTATATAAAAGTGAAGCCATTATAAATACTTTAGCTTTGATTTACAATGATGGGGTTTTTTTGTGTCTGTAGACAAGATAACTTTTTTTTTGAAGACCGAATTACTCGTGTAACACCATTTTTAAATTTTAAATCGTATGCGATTCGTTTTTTGGTGGGTCGAAAATCGAAAAAGTCAACTTCTACATCCCCGAAACCGGGAACACCCCGTAAAAATTTAACTGTTTTTTTTTAACTTTTAACTTTAACATACTAAAACTTAGCGAAAAACGGTCGGATATAGTTCAAGAAAATGCTTTGATGCGGATCTGTGGATTCTGGACCCCACTGTGGTAATTTATTACTGCGCTAGTTTAAACTGTGCTTGATTTGACTTTACTGGCTTAGACAGTACTTGGTTTGTACCATACTGGTTTCAGCTTTACTAAATTGAACTGTACTAGGTTATACTATGTATAGATTTGTATCGAAAGCGAATCACTTTCAAATTAAATACCCTCCTTGAACCAATATTCTTTGATGACTAACCCAAAAGTACCTTTACCATGGTCTTGTTTTTCGTGTTAATTGAGATTTAATGTATTTTTTTAAACACAAAATTTAGATCTATGCTGTTAAATGTAAATATTTTATCGGATGGATAATAACTGTATTATCATAAGGTAAATGATAAGTTTCATTAGAAAAATTGGAACCATAAATGCATTCTGTCATATTGCAAATTTAGAGTTTTGATATGACATCGTTTACTCCCACACGTTATTTCAAAGTTGAAGCTTTGTCAATAATTTTTTCTCAGTTAATTTTAATATTTTCATTTAGTTAAGACAAAAGTAAATTATTATCTTGGTAAATTATTGTATAGTAAAGTGTAGATGAACAGTTACAAAACAAATTACAGTCTGTTATTATTTACCAGATATAATTACTAGATACAAAGGACAAATACTTTTTGTAGAAAAATTATTAAAAGTTTTATATTGAACAATATCTTTATTTGCTGGCTTTATTCTTCTATGGTAGTCACATAAATATTATTACAGTCATGAAATTATTTAATGTTTAAATATATACAAAAAATTTACATTCTGCAGTATATTTTCTTTTGAGAAATTATAATTTGTGCAACAATTGTAATTATGTAGTTTTTCTCTTTGGAGATACTTTATATTATTTTACAATATTAAACAATATTCATATACAGGGTGGGGCGCGGTTACTTCCTTATTTGAAACTCGCGCCACAAAGTGACCATTACTCCTAGAGTATTGGTATATGGCGCGTTCGAAAGCTCGGTATCTAAAGTTTTTTTTATGATTAGTTCAATGTCAACAATGCAGTGGACAAAGGAGGAGCGCGCGTTCGCCGTGGAGGCCTACTTTTCCTTCGGCCGTTCGGTCATCACAACTCAACTGCAGAAAGCATTTCAACATCGCGCCTGTAGGTCGTGTACCTGATCGGAAATAGATTTGTTTATGGGAGGACACGATTAGGGATACTGTTAATTGTGAAAAAGAAATGTGATGGACCTTCCAGAACCGTCAGGACGCCAGAAAACATCGGGAGGGTAAGGGCGGCGCTTTTGAAATCCCCTAGGCGATCTGCACGCAAACATTCGGCGGCTAAAGAGATTTCGGCCATCTCAGTGCATTGACGAGGACAGTGGCCACCTTTGAGATGTCGATTTTAAAACCCAATGAAATAAAACTTTAAATGTACCCCTGGACAATGGAAAAAAAATTAAATCGATATTTCCAATACTTTTTGTGTTACGATTTTTTAAAATAAGGAAGTAACCACGCCCCACCCTGTATTTGTTTATGATGGATAGATGGTTTCCTGTTTGCATGAGGTTCAATTATGATTCTTAATTTGTAAATAGTAAGGTAGCTAATTTTTATTGTATTCCTATTTTTTTATCCCGTGTCACCTAACCTAACCTAACCCACCTCGTCTCAGGCATCATGCTGTCTACAATGGAGCTATGCGTAATGCGTGCATGCCGACTGTAATTAAAACGGCAAGTAAAAAAATTATACGGTTACCAGAGCACAATTTTCGAGCGATTAATGACTCTGATCAACATTTAAATTACTACCGTAGAAGATATATTATTAGCTAAATACTATTTGAGACTTATATTCAATAGGTATATCTTAGGAAATAATATTTTATAAAATACAAGTGTGGGTGTATAATATGTATTAAAGTAGTCAAAATTGTGTGTACTAACCCGTATTTGCGTTGATAGTACTAAACCATAACAATATAATATGCATAGACGGTTAGCATTAGGTACAGCATAATCGGTATAGTGTGCAGCTGATGTTATGTGTATATAAAAAAAAACCATTAAACTAAATGCGCACACCGTACAGCTGTTATATTAATATAACGGAAACGGTTATTATCCATAATATTATAACCATACAACTGATGTCGAGGCAAGTTGTATTTTCGGATTTCGTAATAAAGCCAAGAACTCTGGCCGTTTTTATTACCAAACAACTATTTTAATTAGTTTTATTTTGTTTTGCAGTAAAATTCCGAGTTAATAACAAACTGTAATATTTGGATTTTTAGACTTTAACCCTTAAATAGTCACTGTGCGAATTACTTGTGATAAAATTATGAAGTGGTGTATTTCCGCCGATTTAGGACTCCTAGAATCAATAAAAGTGATAAAAAATTATCACGAATGATCATTTTCGCGCCAAATAAATATTTTATGGTTAGCTGCTATCGAAGCAAGTGAGACCAATAGGCTGATACTAATTGATCATACTATACAGATCACAATTGATAGTACTTTTAATAGTATTTCAATGTAGTGTATCTGACAAGACACAAAATCCAGTTAAGGGTAATCTCTGTAGGACATGGACAATAATCGCAGACGGACCGATGTCCTAATTATTTACTTTATCCGTCCTAATTATTTATATTTTGTCAATTTGGAGTTACTCAGTCTAACAATGGGAGGTCTAAACTTGTATCAATAGGGCCACTGATTTCGTTGAATCTCAAATGAAAAAAAAAAGACACGTGTTTGTCGACGCATCATAATTGCGGAGAAAGTCGACTTTGAACTTCTGTACTTTTTTCTTACAATACATTTTATTGTCCTAACCCTCAGACATTCTCAAAGTTCCGACGATCCGTTCTCAGAATATACACACCACCGTACGACGTATTGACACTGAATAATAAAACAAAAATTACCAGCACACGTGGCCAGGATCTTTCGATGCTAATCGCTGGTTATTATTACCTGCCACTATTACAACTAACACCACCACCATCACCGCTACCACCACTACACATCTACTCCTTACGACTGGCCTGCCATACTCTCTCTGTCTATGTATTTTGTGCACGTTTGGTATCGATTTTTCTCGCATGACATTGTATAACATTAGTGCGGTTTACACGCATACAAAGCATTAAACACAATGTTTTTCGGGACAACCCGTATTGTTGACATTTCGTGTTTCGTCCATACACGTTTTAATAGCGAAACGCACCTGTTTGTCATTGTCGGTACCGCGACTATCCTATTGTATCATGTATGTATGTATATCTCTATATATTCGAAACGCATACAGTATAAACCCCCCTTTGAGAGAGAGTGTGTGTGTGCGTG